TGAAATATGTAGCTGTGCCAGTTTTCTAATTTATTATTTTTGTCTTGGAAAATAGTTTCTTCTTTTTTTAAAAAAGATTTTTGAAGATGGGATATGTAGTTCAGATTGGCCTTGATCTTGGAGCAATTCTCCTGCCTCAGCCTCCTGAGTGCTGGTATTAGAGGCATGCACCATGCCTCTAAAAAAAGTTATTTTAATTAAAAATGTTTTGATGTTAATATGCAATAAGTTTATTGTTTTAAATATGTCACATTTTTAAAAATTGGTGCATCTGTTTCAATTTCCCATAGAGACCATATCTATAAATGTAATCAAATGAAACCCCATAGGGTTTTCCTTCAAGTTCTGAGTGTAAAAGATCTTGAGATCTGAAGGTTGGAGTGCTGGCCTTTCAGAACAAATGAGTGGCTTTTACCAGATCTGGAGAGCCCTCCTGGCTGTCCAGGAGCCAGATGTAGCTCCATGGCCCAGTGTGCTCTCTCTGGGTGTGGGCAGAGATAACCAAGCTATGCTGAGGGAATATGGTTTGGGTTCTTCAAGGTGATCTTCTTCGGATTGGTGTGGAGTACAATAGGATAAGAGTAGAGAACCCTAGCTTTGGAATCTGACCAAAGTGGCATTTTATATGTCATTCTTTGTGAGGAGGTGATTGTGCCTAACTCATGGGCCCTCAGCCCCTGCATCCCTAACTGTTTGATGAAGATAAGAAGTGTCATTGGTGAGATGCCCTGATATGAGTGAGCCAGATGCTGGGTGTGAAAGTGAGGCTGTCTGTGCACTAAACAGGTGTGTTTCTGCCAGGAGTTGTGGCGTCAACCTGCATTTCTACCCATTTGTGAGGCTGAGACAGGAGGATCGCAATTTGAAGCCAGCCCTGGAAACTTTGAGACCCAAAATAGAAAGGGCTGATGATGTAATATATGTGAAGCCCCAAGTTCAATACCTAGCATTGCAAAAATTAAATAAAAAGGTGTGTCTCTGATTCAGGTTTGGTTTTAGCTTTGTTTTTTAGGTAGGGGTCTCACTAGGGTTTCTGAAAGGTGGTTTTCCTCCACAAACCTTCTACTCCGCTTTTGTGGCGAGCCTTCTTTCTAGCCAGGGGTGCTGAGCATACTGTAGCACCCAGGGAGTGGTGGAAGGGAGCTTGATTTTCTTCCTTTGTTTAGGATTGTTCAGAATGTTTTTGTGTTTCTCAGTTTCTCTTGGAAATTTCCAGTTGGGTGCACTGTTCACCTTTCTACTGAGGGCGTGGTGTTGGCCCTATAGAGTACAGGCCTTGGCTTCATAAGGGCATTTGCTGGAAATCTTCCCTGGCCTGTTGGCCTGCAAGCTTGATTATTTTATGGTTAGATGTTATGGCTTGTGTTTAGATGTCCCCCTAAAGCCTCATCTGGTCATAGGTAGGCTTTTTTTTTTTTTTTTTGGTACCGGGTGTTGAGCCCGGGTCCTAGGCAGTCCACCAAACCGCTGAGCTAAATCCCCAGCCCCCGAGGTAGGCTTTTTCAGAGGTGGCTGGATCTAGAGTGTGTGATACTGGGATTGATTCATGGTGCAATTCTAAGATCAAGGCCTCTAGGATTAAGGATGTGAGTGCTACCTGCACTAAGTAGCCTAGATAATTTTATACGGAATAGAAAAAGCTGTGGTCAGTCCTTGTTGCTTTGCTATCTTCTGCCTGCCATGAACTGTTTCTCCTCTGCAGTGCCTGCCATACTATCCTGCCTTGGAGCCAGTCGATTATGGACTGAAACTTCTACCAACTGAGCTAAATAAACCTTTCCCCTTTTTTCTTTGAATTTATGTTTTTGGTGCCAGGGATCCAGCTTAGGACATCACGAAAACCTTTCCTCTTTTAACTTTGGGTGTCGAGTATTTTGTCTCAGGAACGAGTAAATTAACTGAGAAATTAGACTTGTCCTTGAGTCCTGTTTCTTACTTGGTGTTTAGTGACTCCTTTTGCTTTCACCCTGGAAGCTGACCTCCATTATATAGTTTGAGTACTTCCACATATCTTTATCTTGTGCTTCTCTCATCTGGTTTAAGATTTTAAACTTCCTCTCTGCTATTCTAAGAGAGGATTCATTGGCACTGTGAGACCTCCCCTGTCCTTGCCTGTTTGTCAGGCCTCCCTGCCCAGGGTGCCAGAAGTGTGGCTACTACCCTTTGTCTCCCATGTTTACTCTCCCACCAGTAGTTTAGTTAATAAATCTTCCTGTTACTCACCTGTGATTCTTGATGTTGAAATGTCACAGGACCTGTTTATTTGGTGGACTGTGAGACTCCATGGCATTACCCTCATGTCTGTGCTTTGTTCTTTTTTGCTATAGTGAGTTCTCCTCACTATGTCTCCTTTTTGGAAATATCTAGCTCTTTTATTTGTTTCAAGTCCTGTGTGTGTTAGTTGGTGGATAAATACCTCTGAGAAAAGGCATATTACAGTTTCCCTCATAAAGGTCACAGCCTTGTTCTTGTTGAGAATCTCAGTTGTTTACAAAGCCCATATGATCTGCATTGCTTTGTGACTTTAGGCCAGGCCCTTGGTTAAGTGGCCTCCCTGACAAGCCCCACTGGTCCCAGCTGCATGCCACACTGGTCAGGTCAGGGTAAGTCAGACTGTGGGGCCAATGGAGCTTGGTGGGAGAACCTGGTTCCACCAGTTTAGCTCTGAGCCATTTGTGGAGGTGTCCAGGTATATTTTCATGGTTGCCCTAGGCCCTTATCTACAGTTTAGTGTATAGTATTATTGCAGTAAAACCTCAGATAAGGGATTTCAGTGTAATAGAACACTTGCTTGTAATGCAGAAGGCCCTGGGTTTGATTCAGAGCCCCACCCCCCACCCCCCAAAAAAGCTTGTCCATAATCCCAACACTCAGGAGGCTGAGGTAGGAGAACTAACAAATTGAAGCCTGGCTGGGGCAGTTTAGTATTTTAACCAGACCCTGTTTCAAAATAAAAAAGAATTAAGGATGGCAGAAGGGTGGTTAATGCTGAGGAATGTAACTTAGTGAGAGAAAGCCCTGGGCTGAATCCCCAGTATCCTCAAACACTAACAACAACATAAACCAGTAAGTGTTAGTTTTAATCAAATGAGGTAACCTATAGATAATAAGACAGTCTCTTATGCTTTTAGGAGGTCAGGTGATACATACATACAGATAGGTAGGTAGGTAGATAGATAGATAGATAGATACACACTGCTATTATGTATTAAGTTAAAGCCTGTATTTGAAACTTTCTCTTCCAGATTTTTGTTGTGTTTGAATAAAGGTATTTGTTATATCAGGTGTGGTGGTGCATGCCTGTAATCTCAGCACTGAAGAGGCTGAGGCAGGAGGATTGTGAGTCTAAGGGAAGTCTGAGCTACATACAGAGATCCTGTCTCAAAAAACAAACAAACAAAAAGTGTTTATTACTACGGCAGAAATATCAGAAAAGATTTCTCTCTCCCTGGGTGCTGGGATTTAACCCAAGGACTTAGGGCCTGGTGCATGCTAAGCATGTGCTCTATACCCCTAGAAAAGCTATTTTGTTTCTCTTGCAGTTCTGTAGGCAGATTCACTGCTCCTAAACTGCAGCCTCATCCATATATACAGAGTCCACACAAAATGTATACAACTTCAGGAAAAGAAAAATTTGTATAAGTAATTTAATACTAAATTTATTGAGACATCATGAGATTAATACAAGTTACCTTTGTTGTTTTATTTGGTTTGGTTTGGTTTTGGTTTTGGTTTAGCATTATTTTGAGACAGGACCTTGCTATGTGGCCTAGGCTGGCATCCCTCACCCTTCTGAGTGCTGCGATTATAGGTGTGTGCCAGTGCACCTGGAAACAAGTTACCAGTGGCCTCTACAATTATAAGAGATGCTCAAAATGGTGGCTAGTGCTCAGTTCAGCAGGATATACACTAAAATCAAATTGGTGGCCATTAGCTTCTAGATATTTATTAGTATGGCATAGTGGTACTTGAGTAACCATGGTCATTGAGACTGCTGCACATGCATTTTCAGTTTCTCTAAGGACTGTCAGGGTAGTGGGTTTTCTGTATATATATCTACTAAGGTCCCCCATACAAAGGTAACACCATCTGTTGAAAAAACATGCTATTTTTCTTTCCCTGAAGTGTGTATACATTTTTCAAGGCGTGTGTGTGTGTGTGTGTGTGTGTGTGTGTGTGTGTGTGTGTAATGGTGTGTGTGTTGAGACAGGATCTTGCTGTACAGTTGAAGCTGACCTCAAACGTGCAGCAATCCTCCTGCCTCACCCACTGGAATACCGAGATTACAGGCATGCACCACCATGCCTGGTGTCTTTTTATATTTTTATTCTGAGACAGGGTCTTGCTAAATTGCCTGAGCAGACCCTGAACTTACAGTCCTTTTGCTTTAACCTTCTGAGTAGCTGGGTTAGAGGTGTGTGCCACAGCACCCAGCAAAAAAAGATATTCTTGAGCCAAGCCCAACTTGAGTCTTTAGGGGATTTCTGATCTAAACTACTCTGGATTCTGGGCACTGAACCAGGGATCCTGGCAAGGAAAGTAATTTAAGGATGACAGTCTCTTATCCTGAAGTTGATTCCTACCATCATGCACCTTTCCAGGGGATTCTTCACTTCTCAGCACGGTTTGGTTTTGTTTTTGGTGTGTGTTTGGGGGTGCTATGCCTCATCATTGGATCCAGGACTTCATGCATTCACCACAGTTTTTTTTGAGATGATAGTGACATATGTGTTACCTCTTGGCACTGTGGCACAACACCTCTCCCTGCCACCTTTTCTTTGATGTGTAGGTGCCCCAATCTGAGAGGTGACCACAAGGATGAAGATTCCAGTCCAGATACTAATGGAACATTCCATACTTGCAGCTAGGGTTATCTCCTGGCCCTAAGGGGAGCTTGATTCATGCCGAGTCCACAGAGGCCTTGGGGAATTCATGTAAAAGGGAAGGAGTCTAGAGAATTTCTATGAATGTCTCATTCTTTTTTTCTTTTTTTTTTATAGGCACCAGTTTGTAGAAAATAATTTAATACTAAAAATGGGTCCAGTGGATAAGCGAAAGGTGAGTTGGAGCCCTGCTGCTCTTCATCCTTATCAGTGTCTTCCTCCACCTCTAATTTAGCACACTCTTCTTTGGACTCCTACAATGTGTTAGATATAGCAATTTCACTCTGGCATACTCTTTAGAGATTAATTCCACATTTTGTGGCCTAGGAAGACCTAGTTCCTCAGGAAAGCAGTCAGAGCCCACTGGGAAGCAGCAAGGGGCAGGTGGAAAAGCCAGCCTCTCGTTCTTGCTCGGGAGCCTGGCTTCCCATTGTTGCATGAGGCCAGTCTGACGGTTTCAAGGTCTCTGCCATGTTGAGGAGGCCATATTTGATACCCTAGCATAGTCAGATGTTTCATTAGAAGTGCCATGTGCAGTGGCACACCTATGATCCCAGCTACTCAGGAGACTGAGGCAGGAGGTTCACAAGTTCAACCCCATCCTGGGAACTTAGCAAGACCGTCTCAAAAAATATAAAGGGCTGGGGGTATAGCTCAGTGGTAGAGTATACTTGGATTAGATTCCTAGTACTGCAGAAACAAACAAGGTGCTTAAGGGTTATTGTGTATTGTGGTTTATGGATTAAACAGATTGTGTCAGAAAATAATCAGACTCTGTGTCACAGGCTCCTCCTGAGCATGGGCTTCTGACTGCCTTTTGGCTGTGCAGCCGCCATGGAATGAGCATGTCCACATCAGTAGGCTGTGGCCTGGCTTGCTAAGTGCAGGGCAGGGCGCTTTGCCTTGGAAGAACTGAATGTCCAGGGATAGTGGGCTGGCTGTCAGCAGCAGGGCCCTGTGCTCATTAGTCTTTGCAGACTAGTCACCTTTGAGGCAGCAGTGACCATTGTGGTTAGCACTCCTGAGCCACGATAACAAGAGTCCCTCCCTCTCTCCTCTCCTGCCCTCCCCTGCCCTCCCCTCCCCTCCCCCTCTTCTCTCTCCCCTGCCCCCCTCTTCTCTCTCCTCCCTCTTCCCTCTCCCCCTCCTTCCCTCTGTTTCTTGTTTGCTGGTTATACTGAGGATTGAGCTCAGGACCTTCTGCTTACTCTCCCCTCCCCTCCCCCCCTCTTCTCCCTCCTCCCTCTTCCCTCTCCCCCTCCTTCCCTCTGTTTCTTGTTTGCTGGTTATACTGAGGATTGAGCTCAGGACCTTCTGCTTGTGAGGCAGGCAGTGGAACCACTGGGCTAAATCCCTGGCCCATCTTTTTTTTATATCAGGGTTTGTTTGCACGAAGACGACAGTTGTTGCTCACAGAAGGGCCACATTTATACTATGTTGATCCTGTCAACAAAGTCCTGAAAGGTGAAATTCCGTGGTCACAAGAACTCCGACCAGAAGCCAAGAATTTTAAAACTTTCTTTGTCCACACGGTGAGTCTGTCCCTTTGGACTCTTCTTGGCAGTATCATTGGAGACCTTGGTGCCTCTGTTCGAAGCGTCTCTTGCTTTGGCTAAGGAGCAGCTGGGACCAGGTCCATTTCTCCTATTGCAGAGGTCCCATGTTAGTGGCTCAGTTCTGAGTTGGGCTGGGAGACATCCTGTGCTTGTTTTTTAGTTTGAGATGGGTCCCTTGCCTACCATTTAGCTCCTGCACATGTTGGAATGAAGAAGACCACTGTGCTTGCAGACTTTTCCAGGGGCTGGCAGGATGGGTGGGCATGGTGCAAGTGTCTGGGACTCCCAGGAGAACCGTAGATGCTCTGTTTTTACAGCCTAACAGGACATATTACCTGATGGATCCAAGCGGGAATGCTCACAAGTGGTGCAGAAAGATCCAGGAGGTTTGGAGGCAGCGATACCAGAGCCACCCAGATGCCGCTGTGCAGTGACACAGCCTGCGGCCAGGCCGCCCTTTGCTGCCAGGACACCTGCCCCAGGGCGGCTCGGCCGCCACCCAGGACGCTTCCAGACCATCTGCCAGCCATCCCAAGGAGAACACAGACGGCGGAAACCTTGCAGCTTTTTTATTTAAAAGAAAAGAAGAAAAAATACCCAATCACACAAAGAACAAAACTAATAACAAACAGGATTTCAGGGTCACTCTGTTTGTTCTCTATGCTCTGCTGAGGCTTCCTTGTGCATTTGTGGCTATGGAGACCCAGCCCCATGCACAACAGCCCAGCTCCCAACCAGACCAATGGCCAGACTTGGTGTCACCAGCCCCTCCTAACATCTGTTGGAACCATGTACTTGCCTCCACCCCTCCCTACCTGCCTTCCACTGCCCTTGCTGTGGCCTAGGGACTGGGTGTGTTCCCCGCCTCATTGTCATGGACTCTTAGCCAGGAGCCTCTGCACACCTCTGCTGGGGTGGCCACCAGCTCTCTGAGCATAGGTTTCTAAATTTGTGTGTGTGCTGCTTTCCCTGTGTCCCTCCTGTATGGCCTTGGAGCAGCCATTCCCCTCCTGTGCCTCCTGGCTTGGCTCTAGTGGTAGGATATGTATGGTCCTTGCTATCTGGCAGGCAAACTGCTGAGGTGAGGAGTGGCCAGGCTGCTACAGTTGGAAAACACCCTCACAGGGCTCAACTCCCACATCCCACCTCCTAGCTGGGTCCATCACTGGGACTGGATGCCAAGCCAGTCGTGTGGCTGGGAGGGACACTGTGTTACAGGAGCCTAGTTAGCGCCTAGCTGGATCTTTTCCTAAGAATACAAAGTCCTCACCTGTATGAGGATGAGGCCCAGAGAAACTGCAGAGGAACCAACCAGAGCAGGGCTGATGGCCTCCATGTGGAGGAGTGAGGCCTCGGGCCTTTCTGAGAGTCTCTGAAAAGGTTTAAATGTGTAGCCGCCTGCCCAGTGGGATTATGTGCTGAGAGAGAATCTTGGTGTCCGCAGCCCTGGGGTGCTTCACCCTCCTGTGTAGCCTCACATGCCCCTTGTTTTTGTTGAGGTTAAACCTTTCTCAGAGTTACCTCAGTTTCTGTTACTGTGTTGAACCAAACTTTTCACATTGCCTAGTCACTTGGTCCTATAGGATGGACTTTGCTTCGACAAAAAGTGGCTTACTATTTTCTAGGACTCAAAAACAACCCATTAAATTTGAGCCTACCCAGCCTGGCATCCTTTGCCAGTTTTAGGGCTACTTCCCTTTGATGCTTTAGTGGGTGTGCTCCCTAGCTTTGCTTTATTATTCCCAGGAAAAGTGCTCCAGAGGGACCCAGTTGTGCCCGTTCCTGCCTAGATTGTCCGTATAGTGACTTAGACCCATTGGGAGAAGAGCAGTCTCCCCACGTATATGCCTCTGACACTCATGTCCCCAAGGCAGGAACAACTTTGTCATTTCTGTAGATTTTCACAAAGGCACCAGCAAAAGGCCCACACAGAAAAGATTCCCCCACTTCCTTTCTCCGGTGACCATTTGTGACCCTGTGCGCCAGGCCAGTTTCCAAAACTTTTAATGATAAGAATGGCTCTTTTTAAGCTGGAGAAAGAGAGATGTGGGTCTGCTGTTGTGCTGGGGTATAAACACTGGGTGGAAGGAGAGACTGCTCCCTAGGCTTTGCCAGCCATTTCTGTGAGGGTTTCGCACAAGCAACCAAGCATGTGTTGGAGCCCCACCTGTCCTTGGGACACCCAAGGAGCAGAACCCAAGTTTGATTCAGGGCCCTAAGGCGGTGCCCCTTTCCTAGGTTTTAGGGAGATTTGCCCATGTTAAGTGAGGCTCACCTGGCCATTTCTTTCTTGGAAAGACTCACTCCCCTTGTTGCTGTCTTGACCTCTTCAAAATGTCCCACATCTTTGTGTGCAGGGGCAGCTCCCTGACTCTACACACACAGATGCAGGGAAAGCAGTGCCCAAGGGCACCTGACTACCAGGAAATAAGGGGACTCAGATTTTGCTTGAATAAGAGTACCATACCAGCCACAGGCAAGCAAGGAGAGTCTTCTATTGCTTCTTCCCTCTGGAGAGTGCCACTACCTCTGCAGCTTCATCAAAAAGCACTGTCCTAACCTCCAGAGCCACAGATGAAGGCTCAGAGCCAAAAGCTAAGATGACTGTCCCTGCCTGTGCTGATAGCTGAGCCTTTCTTGGGTCAGCTTTGTTGTCACTCACAGTCCCTCTTTTCCTTGCTTTTTTGTTTAAGGCCCATGCAGGTTCTTTTCTTGCCCAAACTTACATCAAATTCAGTTTTTTCCCAACCACCCTTAGAGCTGTCACCCGGCATATAGGTGCCTTAGGTTCTGGGACAGGGATGCATAGATGGAAATTTGTCCAAAGTGGGGACCTGTCCAAGGTGAGAAAGTAATGTCCTCTTAATAGCTCCAGGAGTCATGTGTCCTAAGAAAAGGGAAGGACAAGCACAAATGCCATGACTACACCCTCTGTGGCCTCTCCTGGCATAGAGGGGCAGGAGATGTGGTCATTGAAAGCTCAGAGAGTTCACCGTGCACTGCCTTTCCCTGAGGACACAGAGAAGTCTTGAGTTTGCGTGGGTTGTTTCTACTCTTTCTGTGACTCCACCAAGGGCAGCAGGCAGCTCTGTGTGGAGCTCTGAGCCTCTTTATCCTAGAAAGTGGCTACCCATTCTCAACCTGTTAAGTTTTATTTGAGAAAGATGGCTCATGTCAGGCCAAAGCTGACAGGAATTTCACCTATTCCAGCTCTCTTGGGTTGCCCTGTGGTAGTTGTGCTCCATGCCTGAGGGACTGTATAGACAGCCCCATGATATAGACACTCAGGGTGCCAGTTAAGAGGTTCCCAGTGATTTTGTACCTTCTTAAAAGTAACATTGGTTTTCTGAAAAAAGAAATTAACTGTAGACTTAGAACCCAGAGAGCACTGTGGGCATTTTGGCCCAGATCCTGTCCACACCTCTTCACCCTAGCATTTGTGTGCTTTTGTAACTAAACTGGGAACATATACACCATTTTGCATCCAGCTTTTTCATTTGATAGTTCATCCTAATCATTTTCCCATGTCATGAACCGTTCTTCAAAAGCATGATTTTTTTGTAGAGTCTAAGGCTTGTAAATTTTATGATAATTTATCTGACCATTTTTCTGTTGTAAAACATTTAGATGGTTTCTGGTTTTTCACTATATAAATAATGCTGTGATGAATATCTTTATCCCCCCTTAAATGCCTGCAAGTGGTATTTTCGGGTGAAAGATTTTGTTCATTTCACTGATACTCTTCCCTCTTGGTCTGATGCTTAGATTCTCTAAGTTCTAATAGAACCTACTTCTTGGTGTCCTACAGATTCTGAACAAATCAGTTTCTGCTAAGCTGTGTGTCACAAAAAAATGTTTGAATATGACTGCTTTTTTTTTATGCTACAATGGTGTCATTACTGCATATCCATTTGTGACAGATTTTTACAGGAGCCAGTTTCCTTATTTTCATTGCAAGAATCTGATCACGAGTGCATGTTAGTTCTCTTCCATCCCTGCTGCTATGGCTTCCAAGAGCTTGGTGATGTTTTCATAATCTTGTACTTTGTGTCCACAATGGTACTGAATCCTTCTGCACATTCAGCAGAGATAAGTGTTGAACTGACCTTGCCACATGCTTAGTGGGTGATTTGTAATTAAGTTATAGATTTAGAAAGTACATTGGGCCATTTGGAATTGGTAACAGAGGAAAGGCTCTCATTGAAAAAGAAACCATGTAGATGATTGAGTTTTACAGATGTGTATGTGTTTATCCCCTTCCACTATCAAAAGGTCTTCATGGTTTGGGACAGCAAAAATGGCCGGGCCTCTTTATTGTAGAGTGTGGGTAACCCAGCTTTCACAGGTGTAAGGTTTTCTCTCTCCTTCCTGCCCACAATCCTTCAGGGTAGCTAATGGCCTTGTAAGTCAGACCACCCAAATTTGATTGATTCTTGTATCTCCGGGTTGGTTGTGATCTATTGATTTTGAAAGGAAATATGCATAAGGGATTTTATGGGTGCCATGCTCAGTGCCACTTGAGTCTACCAGAGCTAATGGCTGAATTGTGCAGAACTGGGCTGCTTGTCCTCAGGTGCCCCTCCTCTGGACCTTTGCCTGATCCACAGACCCAAGGTGCTCATTGCTAAATCTTGAGTGGTTGCAGCTGCTGTGAGACTATGGTAAAAGTACTATGTTCTAGAAGATGTCATTTTACACCTTTTTCCATTTTGTTTCATTGCAACCTAACATGAACTGAAGGTGACTCAAGTGAGCCTGGCTCGCTCTTAGGCAGAGCATATGGCAAGTGCCCTTGAATCAGACTGGAGCCACTTCCAGAGCCTCTGAGGGGTGCTGGCTACTGGCCCAAGACTGCATGGTTGTAAATCAGTCTGCCTGTGAAGAGTTGTTCTGGGGAGGAAGCTGTTTCTGGCAAAGAACAGTTTTATCATTGCTGAGGTGGTCATGAATGAGCCATGTGAATACCTGAGTTTTCCCTGTAACTCATTTCTTCATGATGAAGAAACTCCAAACTCTGTACAGAGAACTTTTTACAAAAGGCAAATCTTTTTAACCTATGTAGCCCACCCTAGTTTGTCTGGCTGAATGACTATAAGTAGGTCATTGTGTAGGTGAAAGCCTCTATTTTGACCATAGTTTGGACATTGACAAATTAAATATTACAGTATTTAGAACTGCTGCAGCTGTTCCGTAACCACATAAAATAGGAAGAATCAATAGTGTATTGCTGTTCTTCAGGTTGGTGGCAGTCAGTTAGAACAAGTGTAATATTCTCTACCTGGTCTGTAGCTGTAACTGTGATGTACAGGCAAAGCAAAAATTAAAAAAAAACTTATGAAAACAAATAATGCAATGATACTAGGATATACACTTTTGTATTTTTATTCTTATAAGGTTATTTGCTGGCTATTGTTGGCCTCTAGTTCAGTCTGTGTTATTTAAATTCTAATATATGAATTATTTGGATTGAATTCATGTTCGGGGCCACGCTGTTGTATGTATTGATGTACAGCCTTGAATGTGAATAATTATTGTAAACTATATTTTACAACTTTTTTTCTGGCTTTATTATATAAATTTTCTATTTGGCCATGGTTTAATCATATCATAATTTAATGAATCTGTTTATTCTCTTTTTTCAAATATCTGTGCTTTAGATGTAGTTACCGAATGATGAATTTCACTCGTATGCTCGGTAATCTTGTAATAAAAGCATGTAGTGTGTTGCATGTTCGCGGGCCTGGCTTTCCTTGGGCAGGGGCGAAACTGAGACTCTCTGGCCGGAAGGGGGCACAGCCGGTCGCCTTTCCGAACCGGAACTTCCGACCCCCGCGTGACGCCGGGGCGGGCATTTTACTACGGCGGACCTGTGGGCGGGACAGCGCGGAGGACACTATTAAAGACCGGACGCTTCCAGTAGAGGGTTGCTGTGGCGGGGCTTGCCGGGATCATGGCGGAGAATCAC